GGGTTTATATCAATACATAGGACAGAGCTTAGATAGGTTCATATCAATACACACAATACTAAACTTAGATAGATTCATATCAACACGTAGTACTAAAGTTAGATAGGCTAATGTCAATAGTTGGCATTAAACTTAGATAAATGTATTGACATTAACCAGTACTAAACTTAGATCGGTTAATGTCAATACATAGTACTAAACCTATACTCATATCAACAGACAATATTGAGCTTGAATAAGTTCATATCTGTTTTCCGTACTGGACCAAGTATCTAAAAAAATTCAACACTACATATATATAGTTTAGATACTTCTTTTCATAATATAAGGGAGAAAATAATTATGTAGGGTGGGGCTAGCGCACGCCTTACAATAAAGTAAAGTAACACAACAAACTTTTCCTCGTAATTAAGCTTCATGTTCATGATTACTGAATCAGTCTAACATTACATGTTATTTGTATGTTTGTTGTTTTTAGCGCAAAGCTACACAATGAGCTATCTGTGTTCTGTACACCGCGGGGAATTGAATCCAGAATTTAGCAACATAAGTCCTGAAACTTAACTCTGACTCACCGGGGAACTATTAGAGTGTTGTACACGTTATTAATGCATGTGTGAAATAAAAAAAAGTCGCATGGAATACAACCAACTTAGTATCTTTACCATCTTTTGTAGTTAATTAAAAACTCGAGGGCTGTCTTTAGAAATCTTCTTAAACCCCAATTAACAAGAGCATTACAACATCAACAAACCGTTATCAAGGTTATCTGTAGGTTCTTTCGGAGAAACAAAAGAAACCTAGAGCACAAAGAACTTAATGATTTCAAACTTGAAAAATGACAATATATATCCCAGTTCATATTTCAAGTAATATATTTTAACTCTTGCCATTTTGCATTTCAAATAACAAAATCCATATTTTGACCGAATCAAAATACTCAAAATGTTTAGTATGAAAAGTCTCAAAACGAAATAAAATTATTTTCCCCTTTATATTTGTTTGTTTATTTGTAATTAAGCACAAAGCTACACAATAGGTTATATATGCCCTGCCCACCACGGTTATCGAAACCTGAATTCTAGCATTGTAAATCCACAGACTTATATTACGATGTAGTCCGAGTTCCTTATCTTTACACGTATGATACGTTGTACGTAACGTTATTTGGTGTTATTTAATTGCATACCAAGTACTGTATCACCAGAAGAGCTAACACTTCTACTTATCACATGTTTA